GGAGCCTGCACATTACCCCAACCAATGAATTTGAAACACATTCTATGTTTTGGCCAATAAAATTGGAACAGGGACACACCAGGTGCCTGACCTTTGCACAAGCATTCCTATGTGACTTATCACGAGTTTCGACCCCAGGGGGGTCGTTTACTTCTAGTTATCTAACTTAGGGTAGGGTCCAGGAATGTTAACCTCAGGCAGTTTCTACGTAAACTGGGTGGTTTTGCTCTAGGGTGCAGTTAAACTTTATTCTGATATTTGATGTTCCCTGCATTCCTTTACACAGGGATATCTCCACAGTCCCACCATCTGTCATGGACTTGTAGCCTAGGACTTGGCCACATGGAAGAAATCACAAACAGTGAGCATGTATCACTACATTGATGATGATATGCTCACATCTGATTCTCCTTTAGATTTAGAAAGGGCAGTTCCTAGACTGTTGGAACATATATAGGAAAAAGGATGGGCTGTGAACAGCACCAAGGTTCAGGGAACTGGTTGTCTGTGAAATTCTTGGGGGTTGTGTCATCGAGTAAAACTAAGGTTGCTCCTGAAGCAGTTATAGACAAGGTCCAGGCTTTCCCCACCTCTACTACTGTGGCCATATTACAAGAGTTGGGTCTTTTGGGCTCCTGGAGAGTGTTTATCCTGCACTTGGCGCAAATTCTGAAGCCCTTATACCAGTTGGTACGAAAGGGCATCAGTTGGGGCTGGGATGAGACATGTGCAGCTGCTTTTACTGCTGTCAAGTGGGCAGTCAAGGCCATATAGGCCTTGGATGTAATGGGGTCATCAAGGCCTCATGAAATAGGTGTTCATGTAACCAAAGATGGTTATGGATGGGGTCTTTGGCAGTGACTTGAATGGACATGCCCACCTATTGGATTCTGGTCACAACTATTGAAAGGAGTAGAGGTCTGGTACACCTTGATAGAGAAGTAGCTGGCTGCTATGTACCTTTCTGGCTATGGAGCCCATTGCTGGAACAGCTCCGACCAAGGTAATAACCACCTATCTCATCACAGGGTGGGTGCGAAACTAGACCCAAAGGCCATGGAGTAGTGTGGCTCAGACACCTACACTGGCCAAATGGGACACATATTTTCAGCAGCGCAGTGCCCTCTCTGCTAGCCCCTCAAGTGGAGAGCTCCAATACTTATTGGGGCCTGTGACCTATACCAGTGGAAAGCAGGAAGAACTTTCTTTTCAGCCCTTGGTAGCCAAGACTCCTTATCAGGAGGGAAAAGCCCCTATACCTGAAGATGCTTGGTACACAGACGGCTCCAGTTGTGGGCAGCCCCCGAAGTGGAGCCTGTGGCTTTCCATCCTAAGACTGAGACAATATGGATGGAGGTTGGAGAGGGTAAGAGCAGTCAGTGGGCTGAGTTGCGGGCAGTATGGCTTGTGATCACCCATGAGCCTTCCCCCGTAGTTGTCTGCACTGACAGTTGGGCCATCTACTGGGGTTTGACCCTGTGGCTACCAACATGGTATCATGCCAACTGGATGGTTGGTCACCGGCCCCTTCAGGGACAAGAGTTGTGGCAAAACCTGTGGGCCTCTGGTCAGACTAAGACTGTTATTGTATATCATTTGACTGGTCATTTGCCTTTGGCATCCCCAGGGAATGATGAAGCAGACACATTGGCCCAGGTGTGCTGGCTAGAAGGAAAGCCTGCCTCTGATGTGGCCCAATGGCTACTACAGCATTTGTTGCATGTGGGGCAAAAGACTGTGTGGGCTGTAACGTGTAGGTGGGGCTTGCCATTGACATTTGAAGAAGTCAGCAGAGCCCGGAAGGAGTGCCTTGTGTGCTCTAAGAGGGACTTACACCAAGTCCCACAGCAACATGGGATAATAGTAAAGAGGCCAATACCTCTTGTCAGTTGGCAAATAGACTATATTGGGCCTCTGCCCATATCAGAAGGACATTGGTATGCCATGACTTGTGTGGACATGGCTACTGGACTATTGTTTGCTTTTCCTGCATGTCTTGCAGATCAGCAAACCACCAAGAGGGGCCTGGAGCATCTCTTTGCAGCCTATTGCTGGCCACAGGTTATTGAGAGCGATCAAGGCACCCAATTTACTGGACGTGCATTTCAAGAATGGATGCAGCAATTAGGAATAAAGTGGAAATTTCATGTACCATATAATCTTACCAGGGCAGGTATGATAGAGAGGTGCAATGGTTTGTTGAAATCTCGCCTAAAGCTGGACACCAGTAGTCTGCATGGTTGGTCAGTTTGCCTATGGACAGTGTTGTTGTGTTTGAATGAGAAGCCACCTAAAGGAGCTTTGAGCCCTGTGGATATGCTCAGACACCTTGCTTCCTCTCCTATATAACTTTATGTGCAAACCAAAGAAGAGTTATTAAAGCCAGGATATGGCCAGCAGAGCAACATCCTGCTGCCTGCCCCTATTGCATTAAACCCTGGAGACACTGTTGAATGGACATGGCCCTGGACATTTCAACACATGGACCAGCAAAGCTGGCCCTTCTGGCTCCTTGGGAGAAAGACCTGGAAGCTGGTCTCATGTGTATTCCTGGAGTAACAGCTGAATGGCCCCCCCAAATCATGGTAGTGTACCCAAAACATCCAGGAGGTAAGAGCATCTTGCAGGGAAGTTTTGTTTTATCTTTATGGCCAGTGCGTGTACCTCCCATAGCCCTATATATTGACCCATCTGTAACTCCCACAGGGAGGGGAGTGAAATTCAGTCTGGTATACTAGACCAGGACGAGATCTCATTCCTGCCACTGTTTTATATCACAGGACCACTCTCTTGCATTTATCCTACCTGATGGACAAGATTTGCCGGTGCTGGTGTCAGTAAAACATGTATCTTACCACCCTTAAGGTCATTTTCTCCTACAGTCCTTGTGGCCTGATTGCACCCGCTGGCTGCAGCTGCCACGTGGTGATTGATCTGAATCCTCAGCTCCTGCCTATGGAATGGACAGGCTATGGACTTAATCTGCATTGGACTTTGAATTTAGGTGAATCCTCTGGTTTGAGGATTGCTGTTTCTATTTTTATGTCATTAGTCTGGTCACAGTGCTTCAGTTTTTTCACCCAGGGGTAACGATTAGATTGTAAAGTGAGATTTCTGGAGGGGTGGCCTGTGGGTAAAATTATAATATTTCCAGAATATCTAGCTTGGCTTTAGTGCAAATGTATATTCTCAGGGGTGGAGAGAAGTTCATCTGCATATCAATGGGTAATTACCTGGGCAACTGAGGGCTTATCTGAACCTGAGAGGTTAAGGGGAGGTGCTTGCCTGCTTGCTTCTGCTGGAGCAGGAGTGAGAGACAGCCCTGGACTGCAGTTTATAATCAATAAATGTGTTTTAATCTTCATTTTTCCCTTTGACTGATTTTTGTTTTTAGAGGTATTTTGCCCTGGGACTTCCTCTTCCCGGACTTACAGACTGCTCTATCATTGTGATCTGACCTGGTGGGTCGTTGATTGCTTTCCTGCTTTCTGGCAGAACAATATGTGTGCAATTCAGCTTGTACTTGCTTCCTGTGCCTCAACCTGAAACACTTCATTTCTTTAGGAAATTGGTTTCAGTCTTAGTTTTACATGATTGTTCATTTCTACCATTTAAACTTTGAACATATTTACTACACATGGGCAGGTTTTTTGCTTTTCTTCAATAGTTACAGAGGAACTGAGGCCCCCTGTCCTTGCTAGTATTTAATGTATCCTTCCTTATTTCAAAAACAGAACATTTTCTTGTTCAGTTTACATACACAGAAAGATACGTTACATTATGTATAGCTAAAGTCTGTGAAGTCCCTGAAAATGATTTGTCCTTTAGCAGTTTGGACTCTTGTGATGTTAAAAGATAATTGAACACCTCACTGCTATACCTTTGTAAGAAGCTAGAAAATTGAGTATGCAGTATTATGAATTATCTGATCTGGCTTTTCTGTATCTCTACAGTTATTTCATCATTTATTTTAAGGTGAACTTTAAGTTCAGGGTTTCTGTTTCTTTTTCTTCCAACAAATATTTACTATGTTCCAGCCCTTCACAAATATTGACACATTTAATCCTTCTAACAATCTTGTAGGTAGTAATTTATTTTTCTATCCTCTCCATTTCTTGGGTAAGGAAGCTGAGGCAAGTGACTTTAAGTCAATTGCCCAGGGTGGTGGGGCCAGAATCTGAACGCAGATAATCTGCTCCAGAGTCTTGAGTTTTATTTAACTACTGCTTTGTGCTGCCTCTCCTCTGCAGATTAAGTGGAAGAGTTTTAAGTGATTCTGCTTCAGGTTCTGTCCTTTTCATGTTCTTTGTGGTGTAATGGGTGGCACTGACACAACTGTAATGTGTTGGTGTGGCATTGCAGGCCCCAGTTACTTAAGCAATAGAGTTGAGATCCCTAATTAGAAGAATTCAGAGCCTTTTATCTCATTGCTTTGTTATTGGCCCTTTGCTTCAGTTCTTTTTGGCCAAGGCACATTTTCATGAACAGTGAAAATCTCCACAAAGATTGAGGTCCCCTTTAAAAAAAACAGTTTATTTAATTCATTTAAAGTATGAATTTTAAAGAACTAAATTCTGTGATAAGTTCAAAAAGAAGAGTAAGTTTAAACATTTCAAAAGGTACAGAAAGCTATTAGTAACAAGTTTATTAGTATACATAGTTCCTGCTGATACTCTAAGAAGCATCATCATTCTGTAAGAACATATTTTTACTAAAAAATCCAAGATTCATGGATTAGAATTCTCAGTTTTAGTTCTTTGATATGTTAACCTGGGGTCTTCTGTATTCTGTTTCCTGGTGTAATTTTCTCATTTTCTGCCTCCGTGTAGTTACTTAGGCCTACTGGTTCCCCAAGGCCAGAGCACACTCCTTCGGAAAAGAATGCTTGCCACAGGAAGAGGGTAAAAGAAAACATTTTCCACTTTTTTTTAAAAATGGAACTACGTATAGAATATTGGGAAAAATAAAGATAAAAAGATCAAAACTACCTGTAATCCTGCTAATAATGTTTTGGTGTATTTCCATGTATTCTGTGCATGTATAAGATTATATATATTTATACACAGGCTCACACATACATATATGTATTTATATATGTTTATAAGGGATCCAGAAGTAGTATTAGCATATATTAGTTGGGGACTAGAGTAGTGGTAACTGCTTTGATTTGATTAGGTATAAAGCCTAAAAAATAGATTTTGCTTAAAAGGGAGTCCTTAATAGAGTAAAAAAAAAAGAGCACTTGGTATTGGTCTTTGTACCTCATTCTGCTAAGGTTAACTTATAACAATAGAAAATATGGGAAAGGGTTTCCAGGGTTATGTGAGGTGAAAGCTGTTTTCATAGTAATACTAAGATGTTATTTGCCTTTTTCATGCTTGTTCTTAGAGTTTTCCAGAGGCCACATGGCCTGACCTGTGATGTGGGAATAGTGAGTGCAGAAGCATGTAAGAGAGTCCTTCAGGACAGGAAAGGGATTTTTAAAAATGTAAAACAGTGGCACTCCTCTCCCTAGAGTTTTAAAAAAAATACAGTTATTTTCCATCAAAATGCATGTAATAGGTTTGTCATTGTTATTTTTAAATAAGCTTTAATTTTAAGTACTTAGTTTTAATGTCTGATTAGTAAATATTGGTACATATGATCCACATAAATAAAAGTTCTTTGGGAACCTTAATCATCTAAAAAAATTTGAAAAGGTCCTGAGACCAAATGGTTTACATACTGCTGCATTATATATCAAAAAATCATTTGTTAAAATTACTACCTTCTTTACCACAGAATTCTTCGGAAACTGCTAAGGCTCATAGATACACATTTTCCAAACTTTGAATTTGTACTTGAAAGTTTTAATTTGGCAGTAAATAATGCATTTGTTTTCCTTGAAGTAATACGCTCACTTTGTTAATTTTTAAGAAAATGTCTTCTAGGTACCCAAGTTCAAATAATAGTTTGTCAGTTATTTTTTCAAGTGAAAGTGATGTTCATGAAAAAGTGGCTCACAACTCAAAATAGTTAGTTGCACAGGTGCTTTTCTTGAGACAACTGTTATTTTTCAGTGTACAACAGAAGTGCTTATGTCAACTTGCGATTCATTATACAGATTAATTTAGATATTCCTCTCTCATACTGCATCAAAATTCAACAGTTTAACTGCAGTGTGAAGTCTGAATCCATATAAATAAAGTTTTCATACTTTATTATATTGAAACCTATTGGTCTGTTATCCATTTAAATGAATTTTTTGCCCATGCATTGAAAAGCACTGGTTCAATGAGGCCTGTAGATCTTCTGAATATTGCTGCAGTTCATTATATCACCATTGTCATAATGTGTTCTAAGGACTTACAGGGCCATCACCAAAATCTCATTTGGGTTAAATGTGCAAGGATCTAATTTTATACAATTACTAATTAAATTTACATGACTTTTATAATAACTTATAAAATAATTTATAATAAGGTTAACAAAATTGATAAAATTAATAATTATTAAAAAACCAGGAAAATTTTTGTCTGTAGCCAGGCCGATCAGTATAAAGAAAAACCACTAATTTTCAATCTCTTGAGTGAAGAAAGAGGGACATGACAAAATATCATACAGACACCTATTAGTGATAGTTAAACAACTTTGATGAAACGGACAATTTCTCTTCAAAGATATACCTTAACCTAGACTGACAACAGTGGAAAGCTGCATGTTCATTAGAAACACTGAATTTCTAAGGAAAAACTTCTCCACAGGCTCTGTGGCATCACAGGGGAACACTAATTTGACAAGGCCACAACTCCAAAGCAGTGATTTTCAAACTCTTAAGTGTTAGAATATCTTTATGTTCTGAAAAATATTAATGATCTCAAAGACGTTTTCTTTACATGGTTAGAGCCATTGAAATTTACCTTATTTATAAATTAAAATTAAGAACTTTATAAAACATTTATCAGTTTATTTACAAAATAAGCCGACTATGGAAGGGAGCCAAGATGGCAGCATTAGTAGGGCAATGGAAATCTCCTCCCAAAACCATATATATTTTTGAAAATACAACAAATACAACCATCCCTAAAAGAGAGACCAGAAGATACAATACAACAGCCAGGCTACATCTACACCTGCGAGAACCCAGCTCCTCACGAAGGGGGTAAGATACAAGCCATGGCCTGGCGGGACCCGAGCGTGCCCCCAACCCCAGCTCCCCAGCCTGAGGAGAGGAGTCGGAGCGGAGAGGGAGTGGCAGCCCGGAACTGCTAAATACCCAGCCCTAGTCATCTGCACCGGGAGCGCAGACACACAGTACGAGGTGTGCTGGATACTAGGGAAATGGAACAGTAAAACCTGTGAGAGGGTCCCAGCAGGAGGGGCCCATGGGACAAAAGAAAAGCAAGTGCTTTTTGAAAGTCTTAAAGGGACAGAAAGTCTTAGCTGGACAGAAGCATCTCAGCACACTCAGCCCAGCAGCTGGGAATTCCAGGGAACTCCGGGCACCCTAACCCCCTGGGGGGCAGCACAGCTCTGAGGCCCCTAATGGTGATAAACAGCCTCCTGCCTGTTCCCCCTCCGGCTCTGCCCCGTCATATCAGAGGAGCAGCCTGAGACCGGCCAGGGCCCACAGCAGCCCCGCAGAGCCTACTCCGTAGCCGCCTGGGCCAGACTCAGAGACCTCACTAGGGCGCTACTGCACAGCACAGCCTCTAGGGGTCACCATTCTCGCAGGAGAGGAAGGCAATGAGGAGCAGGAAGGGACTTTGTTCTCCCAGCTGACACATGCGCCAACTGCACACGACAACCTCTATTGCCATGAAAAGGCAGAAGAATTTGATACAGACCAGAATAACCCAGAAATCCCCTGAGAGGGAACCTGGGAAGATAGATTTAACCGATCTTCCTGAAAAAGAACTCAAAATAAAGGTCATAACCATGCTGGTGGAGTTGCAGAGAAAAATGCAAGAGCTAACGGATAAAGTTGGGAGGGAGAATACAGAAATAAAACAATCTCTGGAAGGACTTAAAAGCAGAACGGACGAGGTGCAAGAGGCCATTAATGGAATAGAAATCAGAGAACAGGAACACAGAGAAGCTGACAGAGAGAGAGATAAAAGGATGGCGCGGGCCATGCTGCTCATGCTGTTAGACAAGCTCCAGGCACGAGGAGGAATCTTGAAAACAGGAAACCTCATAGCTGGCCCCTGCTAATTCCTGCACCTGTTTTTGCAGTTATATGTTGGTGATTGGGCTCATATATGGAAAATCTTATGTATTTAAGATTTCTTAATCTTTAGTAAATAACATAACCCAAAATATTGATCAAAGCAGCAATTCCGGAAACGAAAGCAGTGCTACGGGACCAACCATTCCAGGCATACTGCCACAAATAAGTGAGGCAGAACAACCCAGGCCTTTCTTAAAACTAAATGCAGTTTGTCCTCCCTTTTGTAACAATTTAAACATGACTAACCAAGATTTCTTTAAAATATTGGGAGAAAAAAGTTATGGGAACCTGGGCCATGGAAAAACCCATTTTCCCAAAAAACATATGAAACAGCAAAGTAATAAAGATTAATAGTCCCCACTGCCCACAGCCCCCTTTTATGTTGCTTATATTAGAAGACACCCCTAGTATCCCCCTCAAAGAAAAAATTTATAAGCAAAATAGGAAAATTTATATTTCTAAATATCCCATATATAAAAGTTTTTAATAAATTCATAACAAAATATTATTATGTTAATAGTAAGGTAGTAAGAGCAGATTTAATGTTATTATATAATGGATAAAGAAGACTGCAAGGCCCTAGTGCCTGTAGATGCAGGAGAAAAGGTGTAAACATCTAAAATTGTGAAATAAATATTATTAAAAAATAAAGTGTTTTTATTGTATTTGTAGAAATGTTAAGGAATGGGTAATGGGAGTACCATCCCTAAATTTTAAATGTAAGTCTCAACCCACATGTGTAGGATAGGATTTAGTTAATAATATAGCTACACTTAATAACCAAAAAACATAGCTTGCATTTTATATAACCTGCTTAAACTTTATATAGCCTTAGACACATACCTTAGACACATGTCTAAAAGTCTATATAATCTTACATGCTTAAAGTAAAAACCATAGCCCCACACACTTAACCCACATGCTGTCTTACGCCATTTTCTGTTTAGAATCTAGCACGTAGCTTACATGAATTACTAATCACAATAGACTAGGGGAAAGTTAAAAATTAAATATTAAGCATATACTATTAAAAGAAAGAATATTTACTTAAGGGTAATAAGCTGAAATTATGTAAACTGACAGAAAAAATTATTATTCATAATTTAAAAAATGTTTAACATTATGTAAATCTTCAAAAATATAAAAATAAAGACCCTGCCGCTTGATGTCAGGAGATGTTATAACCTTGATCGGGTGTTTGGTCTCCTCACTCATCTCCTCACTCACCGACGCTGTCCTTTCCTTCGTGACCCACACCTCAGCTGGAGCTGGACTCCGGCAAGTGGTGCCCAACATGGGGCACAAAGGTAAGCTCTTTATACTGCGGCATTTTCAGGGACAGATAGGATTCTGCTCAGGGTGCTCAAGACCCCTCTGTGAAGGAAGACAGGGTGAGAAAGGGCAGATAGGTCAGAACTTTGAGAAGCCATGGTCCATACTGAGTCTAAAGAAAGAGGACTCTTTATTAAAGTTTTAATGCATATGCTTGTAAGTAAAAGTATAAAAGTCACGAATGGACAATTAGCAAAATTCTTACATTTTGTCCAGGAATGTTGTCCTTGGTTTCCTGACCAAGGCACAGTGAGTCTTGCAACCTTGCAGAAGGTTGAAGAAGAGATAAGGGAATATTATGTCAGCCACAGACCTAAGAAGGTCCCTGCATATGCCTTTGCATTGTGAAATTTAATCAAA